GGCCGTGTGCCGATACTTCTACTCCAAGGTGGGTGCCTGGGTGTGGGAAATAGACAAAAAGGCAGGGGTCTGAACCCCTGATGGATGTCAGTAATATGAGGTGCCAGCTTCTGGCTTGTCTCATCTTCTGCTTCCTCCACTGTTTTCTCTCTAGGTGCAGCAGAGACGACAAGAATTAGAGCAAGCCCTGGGAATCCGAAATACATAGGGCCTCTCCCACAGTGCTGAGCTGGCTCCATCGATTCTTATTTGGGCCCTGTGCTACCTGCCTCATAGCACCTGCCTTGGCCTTGCTTGGGGCCTTCCAGGGGATGCTGTTGGTTCAAGGACAACATCAGAAAGAAGAGGGTCTCACATTTCTGTCTCATAAGACACCTGTCACCCTCTTCTCCCACCCCATCCCTTCCTGTCCCCCAGCTTCCCTTTGCCCCACAAAGTTCCCATGTGCCTCTACCCTCCCCTGGTCTACATAGGACCTCTAGGTAGCGTTAGAGAGAGAACCTGTAGTGGTAATCAGTGCATTGAATGGATTGGGCCTAAGGCCAGGTGGTCTTCAAGGGGACCGGCTACACTGATCCTGCCCTTCAGAGACCCAGGAGTTGGGAGCTTTAGCCCCTTCTCTGAGACTCAGGCCTGGGGGCACTCTATAAGCTAGTTGATCTTGGCTCTCTGGATAACAGAATCCAATTTCCTTCCTTCCCTCCACAGGTTTGGAGCACACTCTCCCTTTACTTCTTGCCCTCTAGCACTAAAGGAACCCCGGTTCTTGGGCCCCACTGAGCCCCAGGTCAGTCTGCAGCCCTCTGGATTGGCCTGCTGTCTCAGTGCTTCTCTTACTCCCTCGTAGGGGGTCCACATCAGTATTGGAGTTTGTTCTTTAACTGTTGCTCCCTCCCAGCACACTCCCTGTAGCTGCTCTTTTTAGGCTCCCCTGCTATCTATCTGTCCTAACGCAGGGCATTTGGGTGGGGGAATCTTGCCTTTCCCTGTCAGAGCCCCAGGGGTCTAACCTGGGGTATTGTCATTGCCAGCAGAGGCTATTCCTTCCTGCTGTTGCTTGGAGGTGTGACTCATTTATTCACTCCACCCTGCCCCTCCCACCCCCACCCCTTCATGGAGAAACAGGCCTGAAATCAAACGGGTATAAGCCCTGGGCCATCCCTGTCTTCCTGTCCCTTGTCTGCCCAGTTGACACCCACTGGTGACTTCTAGGGCACTGAGGAGTGAAAGCGCCTAGGGCTGGCGAATAGCTCTGAGTTGGGTTTGTGACTCTTCCCTCTCCCTGCCTCACAGGATTGTGACTCCCCAGCCCCTGCCCTCAAAGCTTCAGACCCCTCAGGTAGCAGCAGGACCTTGTGATCTTGGCCCCTTGGAACTGAGATGGTTTTGCATCTTTCCAGGAGAGCCTCAGATTCTTCTTCCAGGTTGTATCACCCCAAGTTAGCATACCCCAGGCTCGCAGACTCAACATAGCAGGGTGGGAGACAGCTGGGCACAGAGGGGGACTCCGTTCAGCCTGGGCTCTAAACCCACAGAACTGACAAAGCCCCTGCTTCCCCACCCCCTCCTCAGGCTCCTGCGAGCACATCCTCCAGCCCCATAACCCTGCCTGTTCCACACCGGGGACAGAATTTTCTCTCCATCTTCCCCTTCTGACCATTGTCCCATCCCTCCCTTAAGAGGTTCTCCCCACAGACACTGGACAACCTCTGTCCTTGGGGCTGGAACCAGGAGAAGGAAGTTCAGCACTCCTACATAGTGTCCCTGTTGAAGATAACTTTTTATTAACTGAATTATTATGTTTTTTTCATGGACCAAAATTTTTTTTGTACTGTCCCCTTATCGATGTCACCCAGTTTTAATAAAAGAATCTTCTGAAGGATGGGTCCCCCTACCTACTGAGGGAGAGCTTTTCCCCGAGCTCTTTCTCCAATACCATTAGCCACACTCATGGTGTTTGTTCATTTTATTTAACAAATATTGACTGAGCACCTGCTGTGTGCCAGCTGCGGTACTAGGCACTAGGGATACGGTGGAAAACGAGGTTTCTGCGCTGTGGACCTCAGGTTCTCCAGAGCTTGCTCTGTCAGCCCGCTGGTCTGAGCAGGCTGGGTACTGGTTCGGATCATTGGGCTTCCTCCGTGGATCTGAGAGTCCCGCCCCGGGCTCTGGTTAGGGAGGTACTACCAAGGCCGGGCCACTACCATCTTATCTTCTCCCCATGGCGTGCGCAGGCGCCGTAGGCTTGCCGATCCTGAGCCACCTTGGGGGCAGGTCCTCTTGGGCCCCTATCTAGCCAGGTCCTAGCTGAAGACCTCTGTGTGCCTCTGCCTGCCGTTCCCTTAAGGTTCCACTCTCAGGGCCCTGAGTGAGATTTCAGTTCTTCCGAGCAGCATGGGAGGGCTGTGCTGTCCTCCCAGTACAGCCTGGCGCCCCTCGGCAGGGCTGGGAAGACAGCTCAGGATTGAGCTCCCCTTAGCACAAGCGGGACATTCTGCAGTCGCCATCCTAATATGCTTGCCTCTCGCCTGGTGGCTCCTACTTGCCTCCTTGGCACCACTATCTAGCTTAGTTCTGCCCAAGAAGGGGGTTTAGAATGTAGGATGAGTGCGGCCACATTCCCAAGTTGTGAAAAAAAATTATCCTTTGTCTTCGTGAATGGGAACGCCCAAGTGCTGCCTGCATGCGGTCAGACCCGCCAAGGTTGCAGCTTGTTCCCAGTTTGGAACTTGGGGGTTTATCTGACTTAGGATGGGAAAACAACGTGTGGGGTGATAACTTGGAGTGGAAAAAATTGATGTCAGGGACATTGAAATGGCATCTGTTTTCACCCAGGCTAATTACATGTGTAATGAATGGCTGATGAACCATTATTAATTTCAAGCAAATAATCTACAGTTCGCTCTTGGGAAAAGAGCTCTAGTGGTAGAGATAACTTCCTGTGACGAGCCCGTTCTGAATCTGCACACTCTATTCCTATATAAATGCACAAATTCTTTGTCTCCATACTACTGACAATAATTTTGAGGGCCAAACAGGAGATGGGAGAATTTAGGCAAACATAAGGGGGTTATTTTATGCATAAACCTCCATTCTCTGGGGTTCCCACCACGTGCACCGGGGACAGAAGCATTCTTTCTCTTCCATCACCCATAATCAGTGTTCCCAGCTGGCACTTGGCACTGGTGCCTTTTGTCTCCGTGCCAGTGCGATGATGAGCGATCCGTGGGAGGCCGCCTTTGTAGCAGGTGCGGTTTCACTCCTCAGGGAAACCATCAGCTACCATCTTCACGTATGTTCCCGTGTGGGAACTCCTCGGCCCTGAGAGAGGATACGATGGGCTCCTCCGGGCCAGTCCCTGGAACTTAGAAAAACCTCTTCTCCACAGTCCTGCCCTCAGACCCACTTAGCCTTGCTCAGCGGTTGCACACAGACTCCCCCCTGGCCTAGTGCTCGTGGCTGTCGCCTGCAGGCAGTGGCCCGGAGGGCTGGAAACACCCACTCAGCAGTCTGCCAAGCCAGGAGGTCAGCACGTGAGCAGACAGTGGTGTCTGCCCTCTAGGCCAAGGTGCACAGACAGCTGCAGTGCTAGGGGCATTTGCCCCACTCCAGATCAGCCTAGAAACCAGAGCTGCTGCTCTCCTTTGTCAAACAGATGGCTGTGGGTGATACGGAGTCCGGGGCTGCTCGATGTGTTCTTTCCAATCTCTGTGTCCCAAATCACACCCCTCACTTACTCTCAGTTACAGGATCTGAGACCACAAAGCTCAGCAGAAGTTACAGCTGCCCCAGGTCCTGCCTCCCTTTCCCTTTTGGGCTTGCAAACTAGTCACCACCCTGAGGAAGCCCCTAGTGTGGTAGCTGGGAAACCCGAGAAAGGATTGAGGGAAGCTCAAAGCCCCTCAAGGACAGGGAATCCTTTAGTCACTGTCTTTCCTCTCCTGTCCTTTTCTTCCTTAAGCCCAGAGTCTGCAAGAGCAATGTAAGCCACTGGCATCAGAGCTTTTAATTCTGACCTTTCCCACCTTCTCTTCGTAGAAGACAATCAGGTGAGGATCCCTGGAGGTGAGGAGAGAGGCCCAAGGGTGAGTCCCTGAGATGACCTTGTCTCTCTGGGCTCCTGGAGTCTCTTCTTATTTTTTTTTAATTTTTTATTTATTTATGATAGTCACAGAGAGAGAGAGAGAGAGAGAGAGAGGCAGAGACACAGGCAGAGGGAGAAGCAGGCTCCATGCACCGGGAGCCCGACGTGGGATTCGATCCCGGGTTGGAGTCTCTTCTTACTCTTGGGCTAGGATACCCCCAAAGCAGACCCTTACCTCTTATGTGGTCTTATTTTTTTTTTTAAGATTTTATTATTTATTCATGAGAGACCGAGAGAGTGGCAGGCTCCCCACAGGGGCAACCCCAGGACTCTGGGATCACGCCCTGGGCCAAAGGCTGACGCTCCACCACTGAGCCACCCAGGCGTCCTTCCTATGTGGTCTTATCTTTAAAGGTGAGCACACATCTACCCACCTCACTCACACACAGCCGGCAGTAGAGCTAGTGTAGGGCCAGTGACATGTAGTTTTTGTCACTGCTAGAGGACAAACCTGCAGAGTAGATTTTGGGGTCCTAAGAGGCTACGTGGGGTGATTCCTACCTTGGAAGAGAAAGCACTCCTGTATCTGCTAATAGGACTGAAAACAATCTATTCTGGTGCTGGGGGACAGCAGGGAATAAGGCGGGGCCAGTGGGGCCAGTCACTTGCTCCTCATCTGAGCTATTTCTTGGCAGATCTCAAAATGAGACCACTACAGGGAGGGAGGGCTAGGGCCAGGGGAAGAAGCTCACTAGCACCATCAGCTGGCAAACCTAAACGGAAGAGGGGCCTGGCCCCTGGCCCATTCCTCTTCCCCACCTGTCTCTACCCTTTTCTCCCCTTTCCCTGGCTTTGCCAGAGTCCCTGTCTATCAGGGCACCCGCCTCCCCACCCGCCCCTGGAGGGCGGGACTTGGCTGCACCCACGTGCGGGGAGTTATATGCTCCTAGTCGGCAGAGGAGCTGGGGCGCGGAGCACTGAGCTGAATCAGTTAGAAAAGTGGCACCATGGCTGGCAAGCGAGTCTGCATTATAGGCTCCGGCAACTGGTAAGTGGCTCAGCCAAGGAGTGTGGGGGCAAGGGGAGGTTTCCCTAAGAACACGGGGCTAGGGAGAGAGGCTTGGTGGGTAGGAAACGCCGTCCAGTTTCTGTTCCACCCCTGCTGTCTTCGGTGCCTACCCCCGCAGGGCAGATGGTGCCCAGACCTCGCGTCCTTGCCCACCTGGGCAGCTGCACCTGTTTGCCACAGGAACGGAGCCTCTCCAGTGCTCCCTGCCTGAAAAGCTGCTTTGGGTTGGGGGGTGTGGGTGGACAGATCAGAAGGCTGGTCCCCTTCTCCAGCTGCAAAGTGTAGGGTGGACAGGGCCACACTTTCACGGCGGTGGGGGGTCACAAGGACGATGGCAAGTAAATCTGGTGGGCTGCTGGGCCATCCCTTAATGCCATCCTGTGCCTCCTCCCCACCACCATTCCTCCCTCATGCCCTGACTCTTCCACTTTCTGTCCTCCCCCTCCCACCAGGGGTTCAGCTATTGCCAAGATTGTGGGTGGCAATGCAGCCCAGCTGTCACACTTTGACCCACGGGTGACCATGTGGGTGTTTGAGGAAGATGTCGGGGGGAGAAAGCTGACAGAGATCATCAACACGCAGCACGAGAATGTCAAATACCTGCCAGGGCACAAGCTGCCCCCCAACGTGGTGAGCCCCAAAACCCCGCAAGGAAGGGAGAGGGAAGTGGAGGGTGCTTCCTCCTGAGAGGGGGCTATTTCAGCTGCTAGTTGGACTTGGGAAGCATCCTGGGAGGGCAGCTCTAGGCACAGGGCCCCCCTCTGCACACCCCCCAGACTGCTCTCCTGGCACTTTCTGGGACTGAGGAGAACTTGAACTCCCAGCACCCCATACACTGAGGGGCTCCCAGGCAGAAAAGAGGGGGAGAGGGCAAGGAAGTTAGTTTCCATGGCAACCAAAGACTGGGGGTCTGGGAAGCACCTGCCTCAGGTTGTAATCCTGTTACTTATTCACTGACTTGGAGGCTACTCCTTGGACTTAAGGTCCCTGGTCAAAACCGTGTGGCTTGCTCCCAGCCTGGAGAGGACGAGCAGGGACGACAGCAGGAAGGGCTCTCCTTCCCAGCCTGGGAGCCCTGTGAAGCTGCTGGTGGTGATGAAATCGTACCTGGCCTCTTCCTCCTGCCAAGCCCAGGCGTCCTGTGGCCTCCCTCGCTGTCCCACAGCCAAGGGCTAGGCGAGCACTGAGAGGAGGCTCCCAGGAGTCCTCAAGAGCCCCGGGCGGCTGGAGCAAGAGGGCACGATGGCTGCGACAGGAGGGATTATGGTGTTTCATTCCGAGTCCAGCCCTCCCAGATTCAGCCTCCCAACTGCCCTTCCTTCTCCCCCACCAGCCTCACTCCTGAGCTCCTAGATCTCCTGCACAGGCTCCCACGGGGGCTGGGAGAAGGCTGTGAGGCCCACGAGCACTGGTCACCCCCACAGGTGGCTGTCCCAGACGTGGTCCAGGCTGCCGCGGACGCTGACATCCTGATCTTTGTGGTGCCCCATCAGTTCATCGGCAAGATTTGTGGTCAGCTCAAGGGCCACCTGAAGGCAAATGCCATTGGTGTATCTCTTATTAAGGTGCCAGAAATATCTCCATGTGGATGGGGAGGGTGCAGATAACTGCCGGGGGCGGGGCAGGGTTGGGGAAGAGAGAACAGAAAACGGCAGAAGTAGGCCAAGGGTCTTTTAGAGAGAGAGGAGGAGTTGCTTGAGGGAGGCTGAGAATAGGTGCTGGGGCCACTGGGGAGGGCGGTGGGTGGGGGAGTAGTTAAGCGATTGGTTTGGAGGCCAACATCTTGAGGAATTTGGGAGGCACACAAGGGATGCCGAGGGGTATGAGAAGTGGGCTAGTGTGAGGAATGTGAAAGGGAAGCCGGTTTGGGGCAGTGGCTGGGATGGAAGTTGGTTTGGGGTACTTGGTACTTGGTGGGGGTTGTTTAGGGATGTGGAGGGGATACATGGCCTTGGAGAGGTAGATCGATTGAAGGTATACGGAAGGCGAATCTTTTTTTTTTTAATTATTTATTTATTTATTTTTATTTTTTTGGAAGACGAATCTTTTAAGGGATTCGTTTTCACTTGCAATCTACCCTCCTCACAGCAAGCTCTGGATGGGTTGGAATGGGGCAGGGCCTCTGGGGAGGGACCCTGATGAATGGTGAATTTGGAAGGGGCAGGACTTCTGGGGGGGAAGCCCTCAGTTGGGCATAGAGGGCATCTGGCCTGAGCTCCATCCTGTGCCCAGGGGATAGACGAGGGCCCTAAGGGGCTGAAGCTCATCTCTGAAGTGATTGGGGAGCACCTTGGCATCCCCATGAGTGTGCTGATGGGGGCGAACATTGCCAACGAGGTGGCTGATGACAAGTTCTGTGAGACAACCATTGGTGAGAGCCCTATCATCACCTACACACGCGGCGCACCTTGTTACACCCCCTCCACTCTCCCCTCTCCCCCAGTTCGCCCTCTTCTCCCCATTAATCAGGCAAAGGAAGGAGACCCAAGCATCAGAGGTGAGGGAGGACTGGGACCCCCCCCAACCCAGGGAAAGGGGTACAGGTCCTGCTTAGGGCAGGTGTGGGAAGAGTCAAGAATCTCCTCTTAAAGCCTTGCCCCCTTCCCACTTTAGGATGCAAGGACCAGACCCAAGGACAGCTTCTGAAAATGCTGATGCAGACGCCCAATTTCCGCATCACAGTTGTAAAAGAGGTGGATACGGTGGAGATCTGTGGGGCCTTAAAGGTGAGAGGGGCACAGAGGCAGCCATGGGGTGTGCTCCGGGCTCTCACTCTTGGGCCCCTTCCCCACCAAGTCCCACACACTGGGACGAAGAATTGCCGCAGTAAGGTCAGGGTCATTCCACCCTGCCAGTTACTCTCAGACATTGGGCCTCCTTCTTCCTTTCTTCCTTCAGCTCCTTGTGGGACATCCCTATCCCTGCCTCCAGGGGGCGGTCTGGGGGAAGAGATGTCCTGGGGAGGCACCCAGGCTAATGGGAGATAAGACATCCAGGGCAGCCAGGCAGACTGATGGCTAGAACTCTGGATCTTGGATAGAGCCGAGGACATCAGGGATATGGAATGGCATAGTCATGGCTGGGAGGGCCCGGGGGGCAGAAGACTGGTTTTCAGGATGGAATATGGGGCAGGGTTGGGGAACCAGGGAGCACAGGCCGAGTGGGGTACAGCAAATGGGAAAATCAATAGGTGGAAATAGCTGAGGAGCTCACCCACTGTACTTCACTTACCCAGCGGTGTGTCACGGCTGAAGGAAGGAGCAGGAGGCAGGTGCCGAGGGGCCTGCAGGAGGGGATCCTTCCTCACCCGTGACCTCCACTCTCCAAAGAATATAGTGGCCGTGGGGGCTGGCTTCTGTGACGGCCTGGGCTTTGGCGACAACACCAAGGCAGCAGTGATCCGACTGGGGCTCATGGAGATGATCGCCTTTGCCAAGCTCTTCTGCAGCGGCCCTGTGTCCTGTGACACCTTCCTGGAGAGCTGCGGTGTCGCTGACCTCATCACTACCTGCTACGGAGGGCGGAACCGAAAGGTGGCCGAGGCCTTCGCCCGCACAGGAAAGGTGGGACCTGGGAGACTGGAGAAAGGAGGGCGGGCCCTATGGGTTCAAGGTAGAAGAACGTGGCTCGAGGCATCTCTTGAGCGCAAACAGTAAGACTTGTGAGCATTCCCAGCCCTTCCACCCTCCTAAGGCCTCACCCCCCATCTGAACCCCAGACTCCACCTCCCACGGACAACCCTCCTCTCGCATTTCCGTCTACCCGTCCTATTTTCTTCACAGTCCATTGAGCAGCTGGAGAAAGAGATGCTGAATGGCCAGAAGCTGCAGGGGCCCCTGACAGCCCGGGAGCTGCACAGCGTCCTCAAGCACAAGGGCATGGTGGACAAGTAGGTGTCGGCCCCAGCCCCGCCGGGGAAGCGCTCGCTGCCTCAGCTTCTCATCCTCCTCGACCTGGGGCGGGGGGGCACACCTTATGTTTACGGAGACTAGAGCTTGGAGAGTCTGGTCTGTCCGCTGTCCCCCAGCTAGTTCATAGCCTTTGAACCACCTCCGGGTCAGTGTTCTTCATACCGCATCGCTTGGACCCCTCCACGTAGCCTCACTTTCGGTCCTTTTCCTCCTGTCCTCTGCTTTGGGGACTGGAGCTCTGGGGCAGCTGAAATAAACTCAACTGACTGTCCCACCTCTCTCTCCATCAACCCCATTCTCAGCCGCTATCCGGAGGCCAACCCCCCTGTACCCTGAATCCTGTCCTGGGTGCTGAGGTGTGAGGACAGTCTCTGTGTCAAGGTGCTCCTTTTCAGGGAGCACAAAGACGGGCGGGGGGGGGGAGGAGCGGTCAGAGCAGAGCTGTTGATCTGGAAAGGATCCAAGAATAAGAGAGTATGAAACAGGCTCAGAAGATCAGCTCATGGCTGGTCAGGGGAGAGCCTCCAGGTAAAGGAAGCAGGCTGTGCAAGGGGATGGGAGGAAGGAAATGCATTTATTGAGCCCTTTACATTAATACATAATCACTTTATTGCTTTGTTATATTGGTCCCAATTTACAGTTGATGATACTGAGGCTTTTTTTTTTTAAGATTTTATTCATTCACTAATGAGAGAGAGAGAGAGAGAGAGGGAGGCAGAGACACCGGCAGAGAGGGAGAAGCAGGCTCCATGCAGGGAGCCCGATGTGGGACTCGATCCTGGGACTCAGGGACCACGCCCTGAGCCAAAGGCAGACGCTCAACTGCTGAGCCACCCAGGCAGTCCGATACTGAGGCTTTATTTATTTATTTTTACTTTTTTTAAAATTTTATTTATTTATTATTTATTTTTTTTTACTGAGGCTTTAGAGTGGTTAAGTGACTTGCCCATCTAGAACAAAAAGATCATGCCAGGGAATCATGCAGGCAAGTTTAATAGAACAGGGAGGAGGGCAATTAAAAAACAACCTGACCCTGAACCCAGGACTAGGAAGTTCAGATTCTCAGCAATTAGAAATTCAGAGCCAGCACCCGCCTGGGCTTAAATGTGGGAAAGTAGGGGAGTGGAGGGTTAGGAGGTGGCTGGGGAGTTGGTGGGGGTGAGGGTGTCGGGGTATACTGGAAGGCTGAGCTGGGTCTTTCCTTCCCCTTTCTAGGTTTCCTCTGTTCATGGCTGTGTACAAGATATGCTATGAGAGCCAGCCTGTGGGTGAATTCATCTATTGCTTGCAGAATCATCCAGAACATTTGTGAGCGGGCCTGGGGCCCAGGCCAGGCAGCTTCTCTACTCCAGCAAGGCTGGGGTTACCTGGCCCCCAGAATCTCTGGGACCCTATACGGAACTGCTTCTTCTCATGGAGGACAGGAGGCTGTGGGGTGCAACTACCTACTGGGGGATCCCAAACCATCAAGCAGCCTCTAGCCTCTTGCCACCACATCTCACCAGAAATGGAGTTGCCTTGTCCCTCTCCGCAAGTGGGCCTTTCTCTTTGTCTTCTGGGATGGGTAGTGTCAAGCCCCAGTGCCGCGTGCTCTGGGTGTGTGTGCGGCGGGGAGGGTAGAGGTGTCGGGAGGCAAGAGCTACCCACTGCTGCCTCACACAGACCAGGAGTCCCATCCCCAAGCTCAGTTAAATGGCTAAAGAAGTACCTCAGCCACAAGAGGAATGAGGCAAGGGCTGCCAAGGGAGGGGTCTGGGCTTCTGGGCTGACACAGGCCTCAGGGACCCCTCTGCTCTGACCTCTGCCAGGCCCCGCACCGCGTCAATGGATCTCAGTGTTTGTTAACAAAATACAAAGCTCTCAACCCCCTCCTAGCTTCTCCTAGCAACATCTGCGTCCTCAGAAACCTCTGGTTGTTCCTCTCCCACCCAGAACCCGCCCCCCCCAGGCTGCCCTGGCACCAGAGTTGCTGCCATGCTGGCATCTCTGGCCCTAGGACTTGTCATTCTCCCCAGGGACTTCCTAGTTCTTGCCAGCTCCTCCCCACCATGCCTGACCTTTCTAGGCCTTCCCTCGCCCTGCTGGCCAGCACCCTCTTTGGAGATCAGGCCCCTAATCTGCTGACAGCTACACCATTTCAGAACAGGCTCGGATCACTCGGCTCCCTATGACCTTTGTGTGTGTCCTGCCGCTCTTCTCTGAAGCTCTGGTTGGGGGAGGTGTCAGCTGGGTCCCTCCTGCTTCTGTCTGCCCAAGGACATCCTGGGCTTCACCCATTTTCTCCCTCAAGCCCTGTGCCTATTTCTCAGCTGCCCCCAGAGCAGCCAGGGCAGCTAACCAGCACCTGCAGCAGGAGGCCAGGGGGCCAGAGTGGCCCAGAGGCTGATGGGGGACTGTGAGCAGGGAAGGGGGAGCAGGTGCATGTTGATGGCCCCTGACATTCAAGGCCAGCTCTTCTTTGTCACTGGAAGGCTTTCTCACGAGATATTGACTACATCAGCACCTCAGGAGCTGGGAGACTCAAGGAGAAAAAAATTAAAGCCCACCCTACCCGCTGTGGTGAGGGAAGAGCAGGAAAGGGGAGAAGGGAATGTGTTCTGAACTGGCCTTGTTCCAGGATGGGTTGGCAGGCAGGGAATGTCACAGGTCAGCAGTCCGGGCCCCTAGCTACAAATAGGCCCTGTGGGCCTGCCAGGCTCCAGCCACGTTCAGCAGGGCCTCTCAGCTTCCTATGTGGCAGCACCTGGCACACTGTGGCTCTGGCAGCGTCATGTTAATCCTCTCCTACTCCCTGCCAAGTCCGGGAGGCCCGCTCCTCTCAGCCCAAGACCTGGAGGATTCACTGTTTCACCAGCGAAGGGCAGAGCTGCCTGGACCGGGCTGCAGGAGGGGGGCACAGCTACCCCAGCTTTGGCTGGGCCCAGGCTGGGGCACTGCCTGACTCCAGGGCGGGGGGGGGGGGGGGGGGGGGGGGCCCAGGAGGTCAAGGTCGGGGCAGGGAGGCAGCTCGGCTCAACTTGGGCTGCAGCTGTGACCTTGATAAGACAATCCGACACCTCTGCCTACTTTTGTTCACTCCGCGGTTAACATCTGAAGCCTTCCCTTCAAGTCTACTACCTGTCTACTCAATAAATCGCGTTTTTTCCAGAGCGGAGTTGGGGCAGTGCCTATGCTGTGGTAAATCACTGCATGTGTTTCCAGGCATGTCACGGGGGAAAAAAACAACAAACAAAAAACCCAAAGAGGAGTTCCCTCCTGGATAATCGCAGCTGCTGCTGGCCCTGGCAGGGGGCCCACGCGGTCCCTCTGCCCCAAGGGCTGCCCCCTTCCCGGCGCGTCTTAGGCTTTCGCACGACTCCCGCAAGCGCGGAGGTCGCACCGGGCCACAGCCCTTAGACAGTCGTCCCCCGGCCCCGCCCCCGCTGTGCCCCGCCGCGTGGCCGGCCTCGGATTCCCACGCGCGCTCGCCCGCCCCAGCCAGCCACGCGCTGAAGGGCCGCTCCGGGCTCCAGGGGGCGCGCGGGCCCCCTCCAGGAGCCGACCCCCCGAGAATCCACCCAGCTCCCGGAGGCGTCACCGCGCCGAGGCTGCTGATTGGCTGCCTCCGAGCCGGCGAGAAGGCCCGTCTTTCCCTAGTGTGACCGTGTGTCCGGCTCCGGAGCTGCAGTCACCACGGCCTCTCTGGCGACGGAGATGGACTACAAGCCCCAGAATTCAACAGGCCTCCCCGAGAGGAAGACCGGTCTGAGCATGCGTAGTAAGGGTGACTGGCCCGGAAGCGCAAAGGCGGCAGCCGGCCGAGCTGCGGCGTGCGCGGGCGGTCTCCTCAGTGGGCGCATTTGTGTTGCTTCGGGCGTGTGGGGTCCTCTCTCCGGGTCGGGAGCCGAGTCTAGAGGGTAAGCGGGACAGGTGGGAGGCAGAAAGGGTGGCTTTCCGCACCAGGTGCGCCCCGGGAGCGGGCGCCCCCGCGTACGTGGTCCGGCATGCTGCGTCGGGCTGCGCTAGGAAATTGCGCAGGCGGCGGCGGCGGCCGGGCCCCGGTAAGCGGCCGCATCCCCGCCCGCGGTCGCCGAGGGCCGTGCAGGGGCCTCCAGTCCGCGGAGGCGCCCCGTCTGGGCCCGGCCTTTGCTTATCCATCCTCCCGTGCGGCGGCCTTCGGTGCCCTGAGGCCCCCGCGCGTGCTGCGCCGCGGCCCTCCAGCCGCTCTCTCGGCCCCTTCCGGCCGTAGGCTCCGGGCCCGCCGTGGTCCTCCACGCTCCGACCCCTCCTTGCCTTACAGTCAGCGGCGCCTTGGCCGGTGGCTCTCCCGCGTCCTTGGTGCTTACGGACGAAACGGCCTCAGTCCTTTGCTGCTTTCAGCCCCTGAGACTCTGTCCCCGCCCCCCTCCTGCCCGCCCTTCTGAAGGACACAGCCACGCCCCCTCCCCAGGGGGCTGCTAACTTCTTGGGCCCCCACCCACCTTCCCTCCGAGCTCTCGCCTCGCTCCTTCTCTTCTGGTCACCGCCCGTCTCCTACCTTGTGTAACCGAATGTGGGATCTCTGCCCCCCCCCCCCCCAGACCGTAGGCTGCTCTGAGACTGAAGCCTGTTCTCTGTGGCTTTCATAGCACTAGTAAAAGGTGGACAGATCCATCGTGTCTAAGCTGAGGTGGATGAAACACATTTGAGGAAATGATTTTCCAGAGGAGAACCTGGAGCCTTGAGATGCTCCCTTGGGGGGGGGGGGTTGGGCAGAAAAAGAGAAGAGCCAGAACCTCGCAGCGTGCACTTCTGTTCTGTGGGATTTTCTATACTGGTACTTGAGTCTTTTTCTGTTTTTCAAAACCTCGAGTCTAACTGCATCACCCCATAAACCCAGCATTGAGCTTTTTTTGTTTTTTGTTTTGTTTTGTTTTGAGAAAATGGATGTCTCTCAAGTGAGAATGTTCTGCTCACCTCAAAAGTGTCATTTCTAAGGTGAATCCTTCTACCCGGGTCTAAGTTCACCTTTTCCTGGGCCATCCTGGATCTTGTTCCATCCTGCCCGCCTCTTCTTTTATCTTGTGTTTGGCGACCAGCTTCTTTCTCTCTAAAGCATATTCAGATCTTCCTTATCAATAAGCAAAACATAACTAGAATGTCCTTGATCTTGTTGCCTTCTCAAGCTACTGCCCTATCACTTCTATTCTGTTAACCAGAAAAATCACAAGAATTCTTCTCTTTGAGGTGAAGGGGGTATAATTGAATAATCTGTTTTTTGTCTCTGAAAAATGCCTCTGCATTGGAGGGGCTGGGCTTGTGGACCTGCTGGAGCCCTGGCTTTGAATCTGTGCTTTATTGGGGCATCTGGCCGGATCAGTAGGTAGAGCATGCGACTCAATCTCAGGGTGCTGAGTTCGAGCCCTATCTTCGGCGTGGCGCCTACTTTAAAAAAAAAAGAATCTGTGCCATTATTTAATGCCTGTTTCAGTTCAGTGCACTAAATTGACTTCTGTAGGATTGTTTACATGTCCTCTAGTCATCTTTTCCCATCCACTTATCCCATCTGACCAGCCTTCATGGCATCTTTTCCCATCCACTTATCCCATCTGACCAGCCTTCATGGCACTTAACTTGCAGTAATGGTTTCCAGTTTTCATTCTGGCTCAACAGGTGGGAAGGATACAGCACACCTCCATCAGTGGCAGTGACTTGATACAGCAGTTATTGTCAATCAGGAAGAGGAAGAGATGTAGTTGAATGAAAAAGCCACCCAACATGTTTCTGGAGTTTCCCATCTGCATTCGTTCACTCATTATTATCCTTCAAACTAGCATTCCCTTGGCTTCTCTCTCTGGTCTTTTTTTTTTTTTTCCCCCTAAAATTTGTTGATTTATTCATGAGAGACACACACAGAGAGGCAGAGATATAGGTAGAGGGAGAAGCAGGTTCCCTGCAGGGATCCTGATGTGGGACTGATCCCAGGACCCTGGGATCACGCCCTGAGCCAAAGGCAGACACTCAACCACTGAGCCACCTAGGCATCCCTGTCTCTGGTCTTATCCTCTGCTTTGGTGTCACTTGTTACCTCTGTATCAGTAGGTTAGTCTCTCCCAAGATCTGTCCAGATTTGTGTGTGTGTGTATATATATATATCTGTATATATCTGCCTGGTAGACCTCATCACATGAGTGTTGGGTTGAGCATCTTAATTTTAATTTCTGGTCCAGAACCCAGTTCATGATCTTGACTGCCACTCACTGCCACTACCACTCCCATACACACAGTGAAACACGTCTGTTACATTTCTTTTCTTAGTCCTATTAACAGTATCCCAATCCACAGAGTTAACGGATTGGCTGCCTTGGAGATATTTCCAGCTTTGCCCAAATCCATTCCATTAATAAATCTTTGTTCTACTTCCAAAATAACTGCTACATCTGTCCTCTCCTTTTCTACTGCCCTGCATTAGCTCAGGGTCTGTGGAGAGTTTTGGTTAGTGTGAAAATAGAAATCTTGGAGACGCGTAGGTGGCTCAGCAGTTGAGCTTTTTTTTTTTTTTAAGATTTTATTTATTGGGGATCCCTGGGTGGCGCAGCGGTTTGGCGCCTGCCTTTGGCCCAGGGCGCGATCCTGGAGACCCGGGATGGAATCCCACGTCGGGCTCCCGGTGCATGGAGCCTGCTTCTCCCTCTGCCTGTGTCTCTGCCTCTCTCTCTCTCTCTGTGGCTATCATAAATAAATAAAAATTAAAAAAAAAGATTTTATTTATTTATTCATGAGAGACAGAGAGAGAGAAGAGAGAGGCAGAGACAGGCAGAGAGAGGGAGAAGCAGGCTCCATGCAGGGAGCCTGATGTGGGACTTGATCCCGGGTCTGCAGGATCACGCCCTGGACTGAAAGTGGCGCTTAAACTGCTGAGCCACCGAGGCTGCCCAGCAGTTGAGCATTTGCCTTCTGCTCAGTTCGTGATCCTGGAGTCCTGGGATCGAGTCCCACATCGGGCTCCCTGTATGGAGCCCGCTTCTTCCTCTGCCTCTCTCTGTCTCTCATGAATAAGTAAATAAAATCTTAAAAAAAAAAGGAAATAGAAATGTTGGTTTGGATTAGACAAGAGATGAAGTGGAGTTCTAGACAGCAAAATCACATCTGTTAGTAGGTCATCTGTCACTTGTCTAAGCAAGGTATACCATCCTTTTATAAGCTGTTGAATGCCTCCAGCCTTCTTCCTCCAGCCCCTTGAAGAAGTGGTCCTGTAGCTGATTAACATTGAGCCGGGGTAACGGGGGACAGGTGGAGAAGGAGTAAATGAGGAAGATGTTGAAGGTTGCAGGTCTCTTTGCTGGAAGCTTGCTTACCTTAGTGTCCTGCCCTGTGTGAGTGTGTGTGTGGGTGTGTGTGTTCTTCACATCTCACAGTTTGGGGTCCTTTCAAACCTCAGATAACCTGAACACAACTGTCTCTTACCTGAACCTGTGCCATTTGGTTTTCTTTCTCCTTTGACCTTATTTAATGTAGTCACTTGGAATTATGATTCAAGGAAGCTGTGGCTCAGCTCAACTTGGGCTCCACCCTCCAGGACTGGCTCAATAGCAGTGGTTAGTCCATAGGATGCACTCGGAGAAGTGCTTATGTGTCTCACCCTACTCTAGGCCCCCTGAAAGCAGCTAACCCTGAGCTTTTCTTCTTTCAAGTTCAAGACTTTTAAGAAACCTATTCTGTTTCAGTCTTTTAATGTCAATTCCCTCAACAGTGAGGAGCCTGAGAACATGTTCCTAGACCCAAATGGAAGAATGTTTTGTTGAGGATGAAAGTGTCCTGTGGTAAATTTTATCTTGTTCCCTAGTTCAGAATATCCAGGGAACAGTTAAATTACCAATAATTTATCTTATGCAAATGTGAATTAACAGTTTGCTGGGGACTCAGTAAGTTTCTATTTAACCCTTGGGTTAGGTTCTTGGTATTACGTTTGGAACTTAGAGTTAATGCTGTAGACGGTTAAGTATAATTGAAATAAATATACTCTTGGCATTATTTCAGGTGTATCTGGCTTATATGGATGCTTGAGGGCTAACATGGGAACTTCACCATCAAGAATAGGATTGTTTTTATGGCAAAACAAATTGGTTATTGTGTAGAAGGTTCCCATTTGATCCTCCTAGAGAGAATAATTCATTGCTAATGTTTAATCCCTGG